CAGTTAGACAGATCCAGCAAAGAGTTAAACCCCTTTTCCAGTAAACACACAGCGTTCTCATTCTCACACACAAAATTAATAATACATTAGCAAGCACCGGAATTTTTAATCCAGTTCCGACATTGTTATTGCATAATTTTGTTCCTTGTCTTGGAAACTGTGCAGTAATCTCACCTTCATTCAATCAACTTTACAGGCCTCATCACATATTGCACAGAGTTGTTATAATCGTATAAGGTTATAATTGTATAAGATTTATCTTTGGAAGAAAGGCAATGCTACTTCTGCAACTTATTAACGCTGGGAATTGTTTTCGTATCTGTAGGAAATTCTATTTTAATTTATACGTGATGCAACATATGGGTCATTATTAATTCAAGAAGCCATTTCTCTCGTAGGTACGTAGACTATCAGCTTTCCTGAGGAAGTCATTAAGCGCACTACAGGATAATTAATGTGTAGAAATATTTCAGAATTTACATATGAATTACCTCATTGGAATATATATCATAATTAAGTTCTGATGAAAACCCACTGTCAGTGAGAATAAAATTATGATCAAAGCATCAGTTTAGTGATCTTTTGCACTAAATTCAGCGCCTTGGGACGTCGACTTCAAGATCCTTACCCTCGTATTCAAGTCCCTGCCCTCCTCTGCGCCCCCCTACTTCTTTGACCTCCTCTCTCCTCAAAGCAGCACACGTTGCCTTCGTTCCTCCGGGTCTGGCCTCCTCGTCCCCCGACTCCTCTGCTCCACCCTCGGCGGCCGTGCCTTCAGCCACTATGCCCCGAGGCTCTGGAACTGCCTTCCTCACTCCCTTTGTCTCGCTCCCTCCCTTCCCATTTTCAGGTCTCTGCTGAAGACCTTTTTTACAGCCGTGCCTTTGGTCACCTTCCTCCCCCTCCCCCTGGCTCGGTCCCGGGATCCGAAACAGTAAAGCGCTCTGAGACGCCGTCCGGCGTGGAGGGCGCTATATAAATCGAAGTTGTTGTTGTTGTTGTCCTCCTGATGTGAAAGGCGCTGTACAAGTGCAATTTGTTGTTTGTTGTTGTTGCAAAGAAGATAAAGTAAAACTCTTTGTTGGCTTTGCTATGTGCATATATGTGACAAATTGAACTCATAAATTCTTCCATTTCACACTAGATTTTAAGACCTCAATGCAACATAACATAAGATTTTTTAAAAAATGCTTATTGCAAAGGGTTACTCTGCTGTAGCTTCTGCTTCTAGGTCAACGTTATCAATCAATGCAGCTCTCCAGCTTGTGCTGCCTCTGAGATATTTTTAGTAGTTCTCCAATAAACTTTTATAAAATTGCCGTCCAATAAATATACCTTCAGATTGTGCCAAGCGATTCTGCTATGCTGGGATATTTTGCAATCTTTAAATGAAATCCCCATTTGCTGGACACCCAGCATAGATCATTCTTTTAGCAAGGCAAATTGTTCCTTGCGATACGAGACTTCGATAAAATTAACCAATGTGACCTAAGCTACATCAGTTGGTAAATTCATTGTGATACTGAGCCATGAAGATTTGTGAGGACCAAGATTTGATCCATTGTCTATTTTACCTGTGGTGCCAGTGTGTCCCTGCACCAGGGAGAGGAAATTATCAGGGCTCCTCCTTCAGATTGTTATGCTGTCAGGACTGCTGGAAAATTTGTATCTGTGGACATCAAGTGAGGGCAGAATTGGATATTTTCCCCTCCTCTGGCCATGGTCAAACAGGTTGCTGGTACTACTCAGGGTCTGGGCTCATGCACATAAAGAGTATCTATACCAGAGGACGCCCAGAGCTGTGGACCCATATTTCAAGGTGAATGAATGATTCAGGAGAAGAGAACCACGGCAGCAAGAGAGAGCAGAGCAATATCTCTGACGTGGAATAAACAGGATGGGTTAAACAACTACTATAATATTAATGTACCATATTTAGGGGTCTCAAAGAGGCTGTGGCAAATAGATCACATCTATCCACATCTGTGGAGTCCTGCAGCTCTGTGGTTAGAGCAGTTGCTTTGCAAGCGAGAGACCTGGGTTCAATTCCTGGCAGGGTGAAACCTTGGGCAAGTTTCCTTACTTCACACGCCTGATAATAATCCCTCAAGAAAAAAAAACACTAACAAATTGGTCACTTCAATCCACGACTGTTTGTGGGACACTGCTGTGCGCAATTGGCTGCCGCATTTCGCCCACAAATATACAGTCATTTCACTTTACAGTCTATTCTATGAAGCGCTTTGAGATGTCTAGAAGATGTGAAAAGCGCTATATCAAATGCAAGGATTATTATTATTATTAATATTATTATTATTCAATCCTAAAACCACTATTGGATTTAAGCTCTCAGACACTGCTGTCTCATGTCACTTTCCAATGAGCGTTCCTCACCACTCACTACGGCAAGGCCAGTGAGACAACAGAACAATGAGCTTCAACAGTCAATACTGTGGATTTTGAGTCTTCTTAGATATTGAAGGCTACAAAATGAATAATACGTAATGTATGTTCTCTCACAAACAGCCGAGCAGGAAACCAGCCGACTTTGAATGAGACTCATCCAAATCTTGTCTACTTCAACCAATTGGCGTACAAAATTTTAAATCAATCAAGTGTTACTGCAGCATTTTACAGAATTGGCGCAAAGCTGTTCAGCAATTTCATAATTTACTGAAATGGGAACTGGGTTCATAGCTATGGAATGACACAGAATTGTGGAGTTGTTGAGTTAAAAAAACACACAGAAACGGCAATTTCATTGCTGATTGGAAATCTTAGTGAAAACACAATTTATAGTTCCACTATCCCATAGCCCATGAATTACTGTTTTTTTCTTTCTAGGTCCTTTCTTGAGCAGTATGTCTACATGTGATGCTGGAGGAAGTAATATATCCAAACTCAAAAACAAAGCGAGGCTCTCATTACTCATCTATAATACAAGGCTTGTTGGGCAAGACATTAGAAGAAATAGGATTTTTAATGTTTATCTGAACAGGGAACAGGACCTCAGAATAATATCTTATCAGGAAGATGATACTCAAAACAAGGTAGAACTCCTTCAGCATTGCACTGGAGTGTCAGCCTGGATTGCGAGACTTGAAGTCCCAATGTAGAACTTCAACCCACAACCAGGAAAACTGAGTCAAGATGATTGTTATTTACTTTTTATGTATTTAAAAAATTAGTAGCGAGTTCCAAGACTTGCTGTTAGATTTGTAAACCACTCGATTTTCAGAGAGTTGCAACTTGTGGTATCATTTGAAAACATCTATTATTGTAGATATAATTTTACAAAATCTGGCATCACTCACAGTAAAAGGAGTACAATCATAGAGCATCACATAATGCATTTAATTGTCTTAACCCTTCATATTCAGTTCGACCTATTCTTTCAGTATCGCTGCATTTCATCTATGAATTGGCTTCAGAAGTTTTTTCACTAAATGTAACTTATCACATTGCCCATGATCACAGTTTAAAACACATCTTTATTATTAGTATTCATCCAGGAGGTTGATAACACTAATCTTATCACAATTAAGGCCACAGAGCCCAAATGATACTTGAATTCTCAGTGGAATAGGGTACATGTCCATCTCAAAATATTGTGCCTGAACTGCATGCACAGTTGAGGTTTAATAACCTCTTTGTTTCTTAATTTAGTTTTGATTGGCTACAAAATCCATAATAGCATTCAAGAGGTCATATTTCCACTGTCATCGTCAGCATTTCCGTGCCACAAATGTTACTAATACTTGGGACTTCTTCCATCTGAAGCCACAGGTCTATTTAAGCAATTCACAAAATTAGCTGCAGGGAAATGATAATGCAGATCATTTTATTTGTTTTTTTTAAAAAAAACAGAAATTGGTGTGGTGCATAGATAGTGGCATAAACTGCCTCTCTGGACATTCACAGTGCAGATTCTGATGTTTTTGTACTTTATCTGTGCCATTTGTCAAGCACTGTGGCTACAAAAAAGGTGTGGGCATGAATCGTTTTTCTGAATCCTTAGAAGTTGTGGAATTAGACTTGTGCAGAAAGTGACAAGCACAGAGAGCTTGTGAGGACTGATCTGTTCAATCTCTGATGCCTTGGACAGGGCTTGGATCCTATCCTTTGTATTCCAGCAGGAGTGGGAAAAAATGGTTATCATAATCCCTAACAGTGCAAGGAAAGCCATCTCTCCATTCATGCACGAGCTTTTGAACTTTGGTTCTCTTTACTGGGGACTGGAAAGAATATTTTTTGTCTTTTTNAGGATTTTCTTCCTGCCTAGCTATTAAATGTAAACACAAGAATGGTTATTATTAAACCAGTCATCCTTCAATTCAATGGTTGAACTATCTCCCATTGTGCTGTAGATTCCTAAGGTTCCAATGTACTGGATAAATAAACCGTTTTTGTTTGTTTTTATTGCATAAATCAGGTGTTTAAGTGCAAGCATTAGCACAGTAGATATTTTCTTTCAGGCTGTCTGCTTGGATGTCTGAATTAAATTATGCCTGGATTTCACATGCTTGCAAGCAGGTTAATGTCAGTGGGTATATGAAACTGGAGACTGAATCTTTGTCTCTGGGTAGATTCGGGAGTCCAATGTTCTAACATTGATTGATTGTGAATAATCTGTTCAGTGCCTTTCCCACAGCAGCACTTTGTCAGGAGCTCATCATTGTGGAGTTCAACTTATACCTCACTCTGCCATGGCACCACATACTGGAGTGCCAACACATTATGCCACCTCAATTTCAAAATACTTATAAATAAAATATAATATAAATATTTAGCTTTTTTTTAACAAGTCCTCATATAATTTCCCCCAAAATCCCCACTAACATTTAAGCTAATTGTTCAAAAAAATTACAATTTTGTTCGTTCATAGTCCCTAAATATGTAGAAATTTAGAATTAAGACATTTTAGTAAAGGTCTTTTACATCATCATTCATAAACTGTGAATCAGAACAGTATTAAATTCAAGAAAACTTAGGTTACTTACCAAAGTGCAGTACGTCTCAGCAGGAGTTCCACAAGTAATGCTAGGGGGATCCAGTGTCACGTTAAGGAATTTCGTCACAATTGTGGCCTCTGGCTGGCAGGCCATGTAATCCCAACTTGTCCCTTCATCAGAGTGAATCTGAGTTTTGCACATATCATAGTGGCCCCATGAAGGGAAATGCTGCATCGCTGAGCTTACAGCCAGCCAAAGGGCCTGAAACGACAACAAACTCGACAGATGCATGGCTGTATTATCAACTTGTCTTGAAGAGGCAGTAAATAATGGTTTGCAGTGATGAATCCCAAATGCCAGATCTTTCCAAAGATCTGTGTGTGCTCCAAAGTCGAGTAGTTTTAGAGAGTATTCCAAATTCTACTGAATTGTGAGATTTGGTTGGTTGGGGTGTGGCCCAACATGCTCAAACAAAACTGCTGTTGAAAAAAGCCTCAAGCTGCTAACTCAAGCACAGAAATAGTTTGTCTATTTGGAAGTTGTATGTAATTCTCCAAGAGAATATGACAGTCTGCCAAGGTGTTGGGACGTCAGCTATTTTACGAATAAACTGGATCACTGTGCTTTGTTCACTGCTTGAGGCGGTTGCTCTTGTGTGCTGATAAATCAGTATTTGAAGCAATGTGATGACTGTCTCCTGGCAAGAATCTGTCTCCCATCAATCATTTCTTTCTTCTGGTATCAACTCCCTGTTATGAGAAAATAAAATCAATGTAGTTTGGAACATTGGTGTTTTTCATGACCTATGACCTGCATCTCGAGTTTCTTATCTTCCTTCTGGGGTACCCCTACACAGAAACAATTATTAGTTCCAAACCAATAACAATCCCCAGTAAAACAAATTAGTAAATACTGTTGTGTTCCAAAACATATCACAATTTGCAATCCATTAAGTGCGAATGAACAATAAGAAGGCAGCAACGGGTCATCTGCATGAAATATTTGCAATACAGGTAAATATACAGTTCTTATGATGTAATGCACAATCTCAGTTTAATAGCACTAAAAGTACTCTACAAAATACAATATATCATGAATGGGATGCTCTTAAGATTTAATTTAATATAAAAAAATTGTGCATAAAATAGTGCAAGAGTGTTACAAGCACTAAAAAAAACCCCAGTATAAAATGGTCCGAATGCACTCTGGAACTGGAAGTTTTGAAAGATACCCCAATATTTGCTCTTGTACTGCAGCATATCTTATTTACAGTTATTATAAACTTTACTATTAAAGCCCACTGATGGACTGTTTTTTGGTTCTGGCAGAGTTCCAGTATAATCAGAAGTTGAATTAAAACCTCAGAAGAACAAACCCTTGAGAAGAATTATTTTGCTAATCCACAAGAATTTATATTAGCTATAGATTCTAAGCTTCTTTTAAACATGTGAATGTCAAAAACTGCAGCAGACCAATAGACAGAGCTCAACCTTTGATGCACAACAGCAAATGTGAAGCAACCACCTTTGGTATTGGCTAAATTATTGTCAATAACATTTGATCCTTACACAAACTTGACCACACAACACATATCTGACCAGGTCCTCTTTCTTACTATGGACAGGACAAAATATTATCGTTTTTATGCACAAGCTGTCTACCTGGTGACAACAAAACAAACCAAAGTGTAAGATATGTTAATGATGAGCAACAAGTAAAACAATTGATACAATGATCAAGTGTTCCTCTGCTAAATCAGAATGGTGATCCTTCTACCAAAAATGGCGTGCAATGCTAACTGAAGTTTCCCTCCCTTCCTGCCATTCTGACGTTGCTATGAAACACAGTAGGAGGTCATTTTGACCCATTGAATTAGTATCTGTAATATGGATTGATTATGGGATTTCTTAAGAAGTGGAAGTTTTGCCCACAAAATATACAGTAACTTTACAGTATAATTTATGAAGCACTTTGAAATGTCTTGAAGACGTGATAAGGCACTATATCAAATGCAAGGATTATTATTATTAAGTACGCCACACCAGTGTACCAGAGGGAGCTCCAACCTGTTGTCCCTATTAAGGAATTGCATTAGAAAGTCGCATATTGAACCCTACAAACTTTGCACAGATGCATCAATTGGCTTCTTCTTGGGATCTGAGACTATAGTGTGAACAATGACATTCAGCAGTGATTGAGTTAATAACAGACGTCTTTGGAACATGTTGTGTACCCTGAGAATCCCAGCCTCTAAAGGTGACAGCTTCCCATTTTCATCACAGAGGAAATAAAGCGTACAACCCCTTCTGTTTGATTTAATTGGCTTTCCACACGTCTCAACTGACTTGTGTTTCTACAGTCGTGCAAACGCTTTTTAATGAATGAAGAACGGGAGCAGATTGTGTAAATCCACTGAGAAGGACAAAAAGGGTATTTCTGTTACATAATTTTTGGTTGAAAAATACATGTTTAAGAAGATTTAGTTTATTAACTATAGGAACAGTAGACATATATATTTATTTTAATAAACACATTCCAATGAGAGAGGAATCAATTTAGAAGTGATGCATCAGAATAACCTTCAGAAACGGTATTGGCAATCCTAACAAAGATACTACAACAATGAGTTCATAAAGCTAATAGACGGATGTGAATAAAACATTGTGGAGGTAAATTAGGGATAAGAAAAGGATCAACACAGGCTTCTAAACTACTTTTTAGAAAGACTGTTGGTGTTTATCTTGATCTCTTTATACAAGTCAGAATACGGTATTGTGACGGAATTGGCCCCAGCGAAGAGACTTCCATAATGACATATTGATTTGAATAGTGTTAGAGACATGAAGATGTAAAATTTGAACAAATGCCGAAATCTATATTATAAAGTGGCAGTAAAAAAAACAACCTTCATCTCAACATACTTTATAGTGCTGATGGTCTTACAGGTGACCAGTTATGACTCCTGTTAAATCATCCGAGCCCTTATTGCAGGTCCAGTGATCTATGTGGTCTGAAATGCATGTAAGCCAACTGCAGACCTCATATGCTATTAAAATAATGTCATTGTAATGATGTTGTGAACACTAATCAATTGAAATGAGCTATTTACCCTACTTGAGCTGAACAGTCTATAAATTGAGCCATTAATAAAATGTGATTGAGACAAAGGGCATTTTTCTGCATGAATTGACCTAAGATTTGCGATTTGCTGGCTGTACTCCATAGCTGCTGCTCCATCTACCTCCTCCTTCCTGTTTGCATGTTTTATTTTACTGTGACATTTAAGCAGACATTCAGGCTGTTCATACATTATGGCTTCTCTCAAATGATCAACCATGGGATGTAGTGTGATATCACCACAATTGTTGGAAGGGGATGATTTTTGCTAACTTCAAGCATGTTTATTTTATAGAAAATGTTTTTCTATCTCAGAAAAAAATTAAAATGTTCTGAAACCCTCCAAAATAATGAAAGAAAAAAATTCATCTTGGAGTCTTTATTCACCTCATGTTAGAGAAAAACTCATATTTTGTCCACAAAATATAAGGTCAATTCACTTTACAGTATATTCTGTGAAGCGCTTTGAGACTTCTCGAAGAATTGATAAGCCGCTATATCAAATGCAAGGATTATTAATATTATTAAACAAAGCACTTGTCCGTCAATTGCTTCTGGTTTATCTAAACAATATGGGCAGATGCTTCTGGTCTATCTAAACAATATGGGCAGACAGGAATCTGTGTCCTTTTCATGTCAATGTCACAGGCATACCATTCAACTTCAGAATGCTGGAACCTCTGTGCATCATTTTGAAATATCGTGATTCAAACAAACCATTTTGTAAAAGGTTTTATTGGTCCCAACTGTAAAAAGTCACGGTTCAGGTCTAATGAGTTCCCTAGAGAGAAAGGACGTTGCCTGAGCCATTATATTAACCTAATAAAGAGTCCAACCAAACACGCACATTTTCATATGATTCTGACTGTACCAGTGTCTGGCACAAATAAAACAAATGTACGGACAATATGGAAACTTTATAATGCTTTACCAAATTACCTATTATTGATTAAAATAACACAGGATTTCTGACATGGGGGAAAAAAATAGCTGTTCTCCTGATGTGATATTTGGAATGTGCACTTTTCTGTGTCGCTGACCTCATCAGAATAGAAATGTTTCACCCAAGAGAAATGGTTGCAGTTCACTGTGTAGTTAGGGAATCACAATTCTAATGCTGTGCTCATCAATGTCATTGCGAAAAGCAGTACTGAGTTTTCTGTAAGAGGATCCATCAATAAACGGAGCTTTGTGATATGAGCTGTGATGTTTATCACCATGATAACTAGCACAACACGACCCTGCAAATTCCCCCTTTCCTCCAAATCCAACACAGAGGTGCTTGTAAGCAATGCCGAGCTGCATTCATAACATCCAGGCTCCACTAGGCACATTCCCTGCATGTCAGCCTCCCCAACTCCTCCCTCCGTAGGCTGCAGATCATCCAGAATGCTGCAGCTCATGTCCTCTTCCTAATCAGGCTGTGCGACTCTATCACCCCCATCCTCGTCCGACTCCACTGGATTCCCATCACACAAAGGATACAGTTCAAGATCCTGGTCCTCACTTTCAAAGCCCTCCATGGCCTTGCTCCGCCTCTACCTCTGCGAACTCCTAACACCCTACCAACCTGCCCGCTCCCTCCGCTCAGCCGGTTCCGGCCTGCTTCACATCCCCCACCTCACCCACCCCATCAATGGTGGGCGGGCCCTCAGCCACTCTGCTCCCACCCTCTGGAACTCAATCCCACAGTCCCTCTGCCTCGCCTCCTTCCTTGCCTCCTTAAATACTCGTCTCAAGACTGTCCTCTTCAACCATGCTTTCGGTCATCCTCCTTCCCCCTCTGACCCCCACCCTCATTCATCCCGACCCCCAGCCCAGGTCCGAAAAACTGAAAGTCCAATGCTTGGGACGTCCTCCTGACGTGAAAGGTGCTTTACAAGCATAATTTTGTTGCTGTTGTAGTGTAAGGCTACATTTACAGTAACAAGCTCTCCAGCAATGTGAATAGATACAATTAGGGAGAAGACAACAACAGTAGAGCTATTATTATATAATAATCTCCTGAGGGAGCTGCTCAAAAACACAGATAAAATCCTATTGAGACCAATTTAGGAAACATTCTGTAAAGATTACTTTGTGGCACAAGAAGGCAATCAAGCAAAGCCACCAGGAGATTCAACTAAAATATAAAAATATGTAACCAGAGTACATTGTTTTAGTCTAGTCCAGGA